TATCCTTCCGGGGTCCATCCGTGCAGCAACCCACAGCAGGTGCCAGGACCACATGGAGTTGTTTCCTCCCCACAGATAAGCAAACGTAGCACAGCATCACCTACAGCATCATCAATAGTGATTTAAATTTTTTTTTTTGGCATTTCTTAAAGCGCTCGATGGAGTCCTTGATTCACCACTTCAAACTGTACACAGAGGGATACCAGGTGCCCCCAGGAGCCACATACACGGCCATCGAGGCCCCCAAGGTAAGGAGACTTTATACATAGGACTGCCCGGAATTGACTTCTAATCTGAGAGCTCTTGATGATATATTGTTTTGTTTTTATATTTAAGGATTTATTCATTTGGGGTTATATAAAGTTTTTTTTATATGCTCAACCAGTAATACAGAACACTCCAGTAAATTGCCTATGTATACAGTATGTATCATGATTAGGGATGCACTGATATTAGTATTGGTATGAATACCGAGTACTTGCACTCGCCCAAATGCTCCGATCGAGGAACTTCTGGTCAGAGGCAGTGCCGTAGGGGAACATGCAGCCGACTTCCCGTGCGATCAGGAAGCTGGGCGGCGAGTGATGGCCCACTTCCCGGCTGATAAGCACGGAGCCGGCCGATGCTGATTTTTTTCCATTCATCAAACGTTGGCAATCAGTTTGACTCGGCAAACATCATTTACAACAAGTAAGTGTTTCTGTATCAATCCGTCCGGGAATATATTTTGCATGGTAGTCGCAACATCCCACATGTAGCGAGTGTATCTCCTGGTATCAGTGACCGCTATTCAAGCTGAACGGAAACATCATTACTGACCAGAGTTCCTGTGAGGTTTTCCAAGGTTGCCTGTGTAAGAGTAGCCGGCGATGAAATACATTTATCTATATTGTGATATAATGAGCAAATGTCAGCGGAGCCAAATTGTGCTCGAATAGTCCCAATTCTGGGGGTACGATTGACAGCAGAGGCCAATTAACCTCTACCAGCCTTTTTAAGGGGTTCTCAACTCTAGCTGGTGGAGGAGGGGTTCACAAACATGATCATTGGGATCGGCTCTCGCAGTGATCACATAATCGGGGGCTTCTTCCCGACTCCCGACCTTAAACCAAGAAGGCAGCTGTGAGTGACGGCGCTGTCACTGTTTTGGGGGTGCCAAGTGAGTGCTCTCTCGGCACAAAACAGCCGACTCCATGCTGATTGGCTGGGAAGCTGACTTCCCAGCCAATTTGCATCGAGCTGGCCAAACAGCCGACTCTTTGCTGATTGGCTGGGAAGCCGGCTTTCCAGCCAATCCGGAAGCTGGGAGGCGGGTTATTACTTCCGGATTGGCCAGAAGGCTGGCTCGATGCTGATTGGCTGGGAAGCCAGTTTGCCGGGCAATCAAGCCAGCCAAACAACACTGAGCCGGCTTCCCAGGCAATCGGGAAGCCGGGCAGCGTGTCATTACCTGCCAGCTATGACCAAGCACCATGAGGGGGGGGGTTGAGGAAGTGTTGACTTGCATTTAGGTGCCACTGTATCAGACTATAATTCCCATCATGCAGTGGGAGTAGTTTCCTTCAGTGGGCTTAAATGTTGGTGGGATTTCGGCAGATGTGACAGAGCAGAGGTCTCTTGACCGGTCAATCATATTTGGCCATGTTAGTGGGTGGGACAGAGCGGGAGTCTAAGACACCCTGGTCACCCCCACTATAGCCAGCATAATGACATCTCTGCTGGTAGTCCTGTGACTACTGCGGGGATGTTGGAAGACCGGTGGCCAGATAACGAGCGGGCACCGGTTGTACAAACGGGAAATAAGGGACAGTGAACCCTTATCATGCAGGAGGACTGGAGTTATTTTAAAGTGACTGAAGCATTGTATTCCAGTATAGAAACTATAGACGTACCAGACCTCCGAAATAAAAATGTGGGCGCCGCACATGGCTGCAGGGCAACCCCAAATCCAGGAGCTCTCCCATAGACTTTGCCACTTCCAGCCCTGTCCCCTCCTGCCTACCTTTTATCTTGCTGTTGGCCACATGGTGTTGAACCAATAAGGCACTTTGCTGGCTCTTTGCAGTAAAGGGAGGTGTAGACAATTGCAGATTTGAGCAATGAAGCGGCTAATATTTGGGTTTGTTGGCAGGGAGAGTTCGGTGTCTATCTCGTGTCTGATGGATCAAGTCGTCCATATCGCTGTAAGATCAAGGCCCCGGGATTTGCTCACTTGGTAAGTTATTGTACTTCTTGTTTGTTTAGTATCTGACATGGGAGCTTAAAGGGTCACTCCGCCTAAAATATGCCAGTTTTTGATTGATGCTGGAGGGTAAAATAGCCTAACAGTTCTTTCTTTCAGAGACTTCCTGTCCTGGTGACCCCCTGTTACCTTTTATTTCCTGTCCTGGTGATCCCTGCTCCCTCTATTTCCTGTCCCGGTTATTTCCTGTTCCCTTAATTTTCCATCCTTGGGATCCTTGTCCTCTGATTTCATTGTCCTGGTGATCCCCTGTTCCCTCCATTTCCTGTCCTGGTGATCCCCTGCTCCCTTTATTTCCTGTCCTGGTGATCCCCTGCTCCCTTTTATTTCCTGTCCTGGTGATCCCCCGTTCCCTCCATTTCCTGTCCTGGTGATCCCCTGTTCCCTCCATTTCCTGTCCTAGTGATCCCCTGCTCCCTTCATTTCCTGTCCTGGTGATCCCCTGTTCCCTGCATTTCCTGTCCTGGTGATCCCCTGCTCCCTTCATTTCCTGTCCTGGTGATCCCCTGTTCCCTCCATTTCCTGTCCTGGTGATCCCCTGTTCCCTTCATTTCCTGTCCTGGTGATCCCCTGTTCCCTTCATTTCCTGTCCTGGTGATCCCCTGCTCCCTTTATTTCCTGTCCTGGTGATCCCCTGCTCCCTTTATTTCCTGTCTTGGTGACCCCCTGTTCCCTTACTTTTCCTCTCCTGGTGACCCCTCTGTTCCCTCCATTTCCTGTCTTGGGAATAGCACTTCTGGGATGGGCTGTGAAGCTTCTTTTTATTGGCACTTGTTCTGTTTTCCTCCAATATCATATATCTTAACCAGCGGCTCCATCTCAGTGCAGCTGATCTCCGATTTAGGTAACAGACGTCGCACAGCCCTCAAGTCTGCCTTGGAAAGCCAAGAGTTGGTTGATATAAATAGGACCACTGATTGGGGGTCCGCACATCTGGTGAGAAGGGGGACCCGGGCCTGGCAGGGGCGGCAGCCTGTGGGCGCCCCCAGTCTAGTGTTATTCCTGCACAGTGCTAGAGAACAGTGCAGCGTCAGCCTCATTCTCCTCTATGCCATCCGTCCATGGACTGCAAACTTGCTGCATGTTGGATAATGACAGGTGCACATTGAGGTCCATACTGCGCCATTTCAATGTCATGTCTTCCTCTTCTTAGGCCGGATTGGATAAGATGTCCCAGGGTCACATGCTGGCCGATGTCGTCGCCATTATCGGTAAGTGTCCTACCCTCCGCACTTGTATTGCCGTCCCTCCGTCTCATTGCCGACACCTGACCTGACTTTTCCCTCCTCCCGACAGGAACGCAGGATATCGTCTTCGGAGAGGTGGATCGGTAATCGGCTGCGGCGTGTGAAGGATTCTGGGCCGCGATCCTCCATGTTTTGCTGTGGCTTCTCCACCGAGCTCTAGAAGCGACACCGCCATTTATTTAAACATTGTCCTTGTAAAGCTCTGCAAATAAATGTCTTTTGGTTTCCTATCGTGCACGGCGCACATCCTTTATCCCCGCCCCTTTCTTGTCAGCATTCATCACTTGGAAGGCCCCCCGTCTTCAATATGGGGGACCGTTAGGGCGGTGTGTGATGAGGGTGACGGCAGAGATCAAAAAAAGTAATAAATACCCGGAAGTATTACAGTGACGCATGACAAATAGATATGATGACAGCGCCACTTAAAAAAAATGAGGGGGTGGGGGGTTGGTATTTTCTTTCCCACACCTGACTTCCTGTCTGATCATACTGCAGCAGAATCCAGTATCACAGAAGAACGAAGTCTGCACAGGAAACATATTGGTGTCACCCCGCTCAGTGTCAGTGCAGCTGCGGGGACACATACAGAGAGCTCTCTTTCACCTGAATTGACGCTTTGTTTTAGGTGTACTGCCCCTTTAAGTACGAGCACCCCGTCCTGCCTCTAGTGGTCGGATGATGAAATTCGGATTACCTGAGAAGCTTCTGCGGAAAGCGGCGTGTACACGTTTCCGACCAGCCGGCCGCACGGTGAAATAATGTCTTCATCCAGCAATAATCAGATCAAATCTGAAGAGCAGATCCGGAACACAAGGGAACCAATCAGTGAGCTGCAAATGGTATCCAGCAAACGCAGCAGCCGTGCTGACTGCAGGAAATCCCCTCAATTCACCTTAATGAACCCAACCGCTGAAATGTGTTCTATATATTCTATAATGTGAAGCTTCAATTATAACAATCCCCATGATCCCGCCATGGAGGTCCTTGTTCAGGCACTTCCTGTTATAGGGTGACAATGCTCCGTCCCTGTCTGCCGGTTGTCCTCCTGTGGTGTCACCCTGTCACATGGTGGCCGACGCAACACACATTACACAGACATGATCCACTGTAGTCACCATCAGAAAGCCAGCCCTGAGAAGTGCCATGGAGTGTCTGTAGACAGGAAGTGGCTGCAAAGGTCACCATCCCTGTGCTGAGTTCCCGGATCCGTACCCCTGCAGTGCCCATTATGAGGAGCTCCCACCATCCCTGAGCTGAGATAGGTCTACAGACCCGGGAGCTCAGCACAGGGATGGTGGGAGCCCCTCATAATGGGCACAGCGGGTGTACAGTCCCAGGAACTCAGCACAGGGATGGTGGGGGCCCCTCATAATGGGCACAGCGGGTGTACAGTCCCAGGAACTCAGCACAGGGATGGTGGGGGCCCCTCATAATGGGCACAGCGGGTGTACAGTCCCAGGAACTCAGCACAGGGATGGTGGGGGCCCCTCATAATGGGCACAGCGGGTGTACAGTCCCAGGAACTCAGCACAGGGATGGTGGGGGCCCCTCATAATGGGCACAGCGGGTGTACAGTCCCAGGAACTCAGCACAGGGATGGTGGGGGCCCCTCATAATGGGCACAGCGGGTGTACAGTCCCAGGAACTCAGCACAGGGATGGTGGGAACCCCTCATAATGGGCACCGCAGGTGTACAGACCCTGGAACTAAGCACAGGGATGGTGGGTGCTACTCATAATGGGCACAGCGGGTGTACAGTCCCAGGAACTCAGCACAGGGATGGTGGGAGCTCCTCATAATGGGCACAGCAGGTGTACGGATCTGGGAACTCAGTACAGGGATGGTGGGAGCCCCTCATAATGGGCACAGCAGGTGTATAGACCCGGGAACTCAGCACAGGGAAGGTGGGAGCCCCTCTGCAGTTCATTAAATCTAATGTTCACATGTGGCAGCAGTTGGCAGTGCCATAGCTGGCCTATTTAAATAGGGAAGCTCCAACTTCCTGAGCTGTGTCAAATCTTCTTGAGAAACATGTTAACAGGAACCAGAAGAAAAAGAAGGTCATTCAGCTTCTGTCGGGGCTGGTCGTGTGCAGAGAGTGCGAGGGGAGTTTCCTGTGCGGGTTCTGGTCACTGTCACATTTTGAGTCGCTTCAGACCAGCTTCGGACTTTTGATCTCCACACTGAGGTGAGTCTCCGAACTTCATTTTATTCTCTTTTAGACTTTATTTGCTGATTTTTATTAAAGGGACAATCCACCTGAACGTGATATTTTAATGACCGGTAGAGCCAGGCGGGTGCAATCTGTCCCTGACCCCAAGGGTGAGGTCTCCCTGTCATAGTTCCAGCTCCTTTCCTGTCCTCGTCAAAGTTTTAGGTTTTCCAGCTTCTCCTTTTTATATTCTCCATATTGTGAAATAGATATAAATCCATCAGGGATGGTGGGAGCCCCTCATAATGTGCACAGCAGGTGTACAGCCCCGGGAACTCAGCACAGGGATGGGGGGAGCCCCTCATAATGAGCACAGCAGGGGTACAGACCCGGGAACTCAGCACAGGGATGGTGGGAGCCCCTCATAATGAGCACAGCAGGTGTACAGTCCCGGGAACTCAGCACAAGCATGGTGGGACCCCTCATAATGGGCACAGCAGGTGTACAGACCCGGGAACTCAGCACAGGGATGGTGGGAGCTCCTCATAATGGGCACAGCAGGTGTACAGACCCGGGAACTCAGCACAGGGATGGCGGGAACCCCTCATAATGGGCACAGCAGGTGTACAGACCCGGGAACTCAGCACAGGGATGGTGGGAGCCCCTCATAATGGGCACAGCGGGTGTACAGACCCGGGAACTCAGCACAGGGATGGTGGGTGCCCCTCATAATGGGCACTGCAGGTGTACAGACCCGGGAACTCAGCTCAGGGATGGTGGGAGCCCCTCATAATGGGCACAGCAGGTGTACAGACCCGGGAACTCAGCACAGGGATGGCGGGAGCCCCTCATAATGGGCACAGCAGGTTACAGACCCGGGAACGAAGCACAGGGATGGCGGGAACCCCTCATAATGGGTTCAGGAGGTGTCTGAGTCTAAATCCGCCATTAGATTCCATATACACTCATGTATGAGTCTTCGGTATCAGTGCCATGGGTATGTGCCATCCTCCATTGACCTTATTGCGTTGCAGTAACACGCAATAAAACAGGCAATGTACCATGCATTACCGCCAACACACGCTCGGTATGGAGGATTGATGCCACATGTCCCTTACAAATCCCTGGTGGACAGAAGCTGGCAGCAGGCTGGGTGGCCCCTTCTTCGATTTCTGAGGTTCTCTTCTCTGGCGCGTGGCATCGGTCCTCCATGGTTCCACGGTTACCCTTCATATTCTATTCATGGCCATAGACGTGTTCCTCGAATAATGCATACATGGGATACATGGGATTATGCTCACTGTTTGAATTGCATGTCCATCCCTGAAAAAGTGAACTTTGTTCCATGAAACGTGTTGGATGAAAATCAGCAAGATGATCTGTAATGTGCGGTGTGTGATTATGAGACTGCAAAATATTTTTTTCGTATGGTCTAAACATAAGAAGTCAGAATAACTCCGTGTTTGTAAGAAAAAAATATATTTTTTTTTGTGTTGAATATCTGAATATCCCCAATATTCCCCTTCTCTTTCCTTTTTGTTGGAATTGTGGCTTATATAAATCTAATTAGGAGGATACGGTTTTGCTGAGTTTGAATTATTACCTCTAAATCCCCCTCCAATTTCCATTAACCTGCAGGAATAAATTGTAGTGAAAATGAAGCCTGTCCTTTTTTTTTGTTTTTTACTTTTTAAACATTTTTTTATTATCATTATCATATTTTTTTAGCACTTTCAGCTTTTACCATTGTAACAATAAAATGCAACATAATATAATATATTGATATAAATGATTAGTTATTGTACTATTAGTTTTATTATAACAATATATCATTATTTATAATATTAATTAAATATAATACAATCATATTTGAATTTTTCGAGTTTCACCTGTATATAACTCTTATGGGATTAACATCCTGCATGTGGGTATAAATGCGTGGTCAGACACCTGCGTATATCACTACAGTATATTATATTATAATGTCTATAAGTGTAATCTTTGTGGAACTGGATCTATTTCCTCAGTAGTTTTAGTCTTTCCTTTTTCCTGTTTGTTCACAAATTTGTGCGTGTTCCTTATTCTAGAATTTAACAAAACTGCGCTTATTTTGGTCATTATTAGTAAATAATTTGTCATGAATACTGAATAAGTGACCCGGAGAGATAACAATATTTAGGTGTGCGGAAACATTTGTGTACAAAATTATTTATTTCTTATTTGACTTCCATATAACGAAGGATGTGAATCTATTTGATCTCTTGATACATAGAATTAGACATAGACAGCAGAATAGGTCTGAGTGGCGCATCGAGTCTGCCCCCCTTTTTTTTGGTAACCATTTTGTTGTCCGAGTATAGATCTCTGTTTATCTCAAGTGTGTTTCAATTCACTTCCTGTTGACTGATTCGCTATCTCTTGTCTACTTCTCACTACCTCCGGCATCAGCTCAGTTGTGAACGTTCCTCATGGTAGTTTCAGGTCCTGTCACCGAGTTCTTGATCTTAGCGCCATGCTGATAATTGTTCCCTCCTGAACCTGACTCATACCCTTCCTACATTAAAGGTCTCAGTCATGTGTCCCCCCCCCCCTTTCCCTCCAGACTGAGCACCTCTCTGCTGTTATGTTTCATCCATCAGACCTTTCACTATTTGTGTCTCTGGACTTGTTCTACCTGAGCTATATTTTTTGTAATTCAATCTGGGGTTTTTATTTGAGGCTTTGTAGGTGCCATACCACGACAACTTAAAAGGGACATTAGGCTCTGAGGACGTGCCACCCGGGGGTATTTCAGGAGGGGAGCTGGATATGGGGGCAGGTGACTTGACACATATTGGTACCTTACACGATTCCCAATGAACATATGTTCCTGCGTGACTACGGAGACTAACGTCCCCTTGAACGATTACCATCAGGACCTTGAGGTGGGACTTCCTACACCCATGCTTGGTATCTCCAGACTAAAGCTCCTTACCAGTGGCATTCATGGCGTGACCGTTTATAATCCTCTATAT